TTTAAAAACCTAACAACTAGCTTAAAGATGGAGACACTCATGCATCAGGCTCTTCAGCTGGGTTTTGGTAGTTCATGCTTGTAGCTCCTAACTACTTGGGAGGCTGAGAGACAGGAGGGTCCTAGTTCAAGGTCAGCCCAAACAGAAAGTCCATGAGATTCTATCTCCAATTAACTAGCAATAAAACCAGACTGGTGGCTTGTGCTTGTAATCCTAACTAATCAGGAGGCTGAGATTTGCAGATTGTGGTTCTAAGCCAACCAGGGCAGGAAAGCTCATGAGACTCTTATATCCAATTAATCATTAGAAAACTGGAAGTGGAGCTGTAGCTCAAAGTGGTAAAGAGGGGCTGGGAATGTGGCTTAGTGGTAAAGTGCTTTCCTACTATGCATGAAGCCCTGGGTTTGAGTCCTCAATACGACATAAATAGAAAAAGCTGGAAGTGGTTCTCTGGCTCGAGTGATAGTGTGCTAACCTTGAGTAAAAGCAGCTCAGGGACAGTGCCCAGGCTCTGAGTTTAAGCCCCACTACCTACAAGACAAGAACAAAAACAGACTAGAGACATGGCTGAAGTTGAGCAAACTCAAAGCCCTGAGTTCAAACCCTATTTGCAAAAAAATAAAACCAATTCCTGTGCATAAGTACATTTTGTGATGCTTTTATATATAATAAAAATGACAGCAAGACAACTTAAAAGATTTTTTTTTTCCTCTTAGGAAATATTCAGCATTTCTAGCCAGGGTCTCAATTCACCTTTATTTTCAGCAAATTTAGGCAACAAAATTCACTTTGGGAAATCTTTGTGCTTTGGGTAGAAATGAGTAGCATTTGTACAGCTTTAGCATTTCAAGATTATTTATATCAGTCTCTCGTTTTACGATACACAAGTGGAGGGGACACCCCTGAATTTACACCAATAGGTTGTCTAGGGTAGAAGGAGGCCTTTCATGCGCAGGCGCACAGCCATAGCCTCGCCCGCTCAGGCCCGGCGCTCAGTGACGCTCCGCAGCTCTGAAACTGAGGGACCGGGAGGTGCAACCAATCCACGAGTGCCTCCCGCAGTGCTTGCTTCTTATTGGCTAACTCTATCAAACGACGTAGCTACAGTCCAATTGGCATGCTAGGGGCGTGGCTTAGGGCAGGCAGCGTATTAGGCGACCCGGACGGCCTGCTGTGAGCACGTGACCCAGGTTTGTTAGCGGAAGCTACCTATCTGGTAAGGCGCTGCCCCAGCAACCGAGGCCGAGATGGTGAGTGTGGACGCATGCGCGGGAGTACGTGTCGGGGGTTCCGCGTCCCTGGTCCCCAATCTCTGGTTGTCCTCGCGAGGCCTGCACTGCCCTGTCCCCCCTCCCCCCGTCCGGCCTGGGCCGGCGAGGGGCTGGAGATGGCAGGGTTGGCGCCGCGGAGGGCCGAGGGGTAATCGAGGGGCTTGGAGAGCGGGGCCTCGAGGGTCTCCGGGTGGGAAGCGGAAAGCTGGGGGGCCCGGGGTGGTGAGGGAGCGGGGGTGCTGCAGGCCATCGCCGGGGGACTCGGCGTTCTCACTCTCCTGCTTTCGCCCATCAGACTTCCGCGCTGACCCAGGGGCTGGAGCGGATCCCGGACCAGCTGGGTTACCTGGTGCTGAGCGAGGGCGCGGTGCTGGCGGTGCGTCCCGGGACGGGGAGGGGGCCGGGAGCCCCGCCCGGCCTTGCCGCACCCCTCCCCCCGCCCCCTGCCCCCTGCCCTGGTTTGTCTGTGCTTTCGGCTCTCTTTAAGTTCCCGGTCCCATAACCAGAGGTGAAAGGATTGTTAACTGTAGTACTTGTCATACGACTCCTCCTTCCTTACCAGTTTGTTGATACTCTTCTCCAGTATGCCTTTAAAAATTTTAATGTGTATCTGGCTGCGTGCTGCTCAAGCCTAGACAACTAGCTACTCAGGAGGCTGAGATATGAGGGTCACAGTTCAAAACCAGCCCTGGCAGAAAAGTTTATGAGACTCGATCTCCGATTAACCACCAAGAAGCTGGAAAGGGAGATGCCACTCAAGTGATAGAGGGCTAGTCTTAAGTAGAGCAGCTCAGGGACAGTGCCCACGTCCTGAGTTCAAGCCCCACTACTAAGGCATGTGCGTACACACACACACACATTGAAAGTAATAGGAGCTTTTTGTTTTTCAAAGCTAAGGACTAAACTCAGGGTCTTGCACTTGCCAGGCAAGTGCTCTTCCACTGAGCTAAATCCCCAACCATAATAGGAACTTTGAAGGTTTTTTCTTTTTGCTGCTGTTGTTGTTGAATAGCAGAAGTGTGACTGAGATAAAGGGTTGAATAAG